GTGATCTCTGCTGCCTTGATTCTCCCAGAATGGCGTGTAGTGGGATGAATGAATGGGCGGACTGAATAGGCCGAATTGCTGGTCAAATGTAGTAAAAAGGGCATAGGCATATTCAGTGGATGACCTCTGCCCAGGTGGGTGATGTGTTGTGTGTCAGTAGGGACACGCAAATTTTCGTGATGCAGTGGAGCCCATTTTCCCTTCTAGGCACAATGCGCCTTCTACCAACAATGAAACCTTCACTCAAATTCACATTCGTCATTTCTACTTCCCCCTTTCCGTTCCATCTTGTGGCAGTCATTAAAACCATCGCATTCATCATCTTTACAAGCATTCGCGCCTACAGTATGGACTAAGACGTAGCATAAACCTCATTTCTGTCCTATTGCTGACGTCTTTCGCCTGTTACGCCAAAACCACCCATGTGCTTGGACGTGCGTATTCTGCATTGACTTGCACAGCCTTGTGGTGGCACTCATGAGGTGTGGGTGTTAACTCCACTGTGAGAGTGTGCTTTCAAAAGGCCTGTCTAGACCACTGCCTAACACATCACTCGGAGGCTTTGACAGCCACAGCCACACAGCCACACCCTACATGCACTTATACCGCAGTAGAAGAAGACTACACAGGTGGATTTCTCTCACGTTCTACAATTGGGTGACTCGCATTGACCTAAAAGCGTGCTGATTTGTCGTCTGATTTAAGCACAAATCTTACCACAGTATCAATTATACGCTGATTGCAGAATTCATCTATTCGTAAGCATCGAGTCCTCAGATGAGGGTGCAGCAATGCAGATTGGAGGGATGCTTAGATGGCCAGATGACTAAGTCTGTTTGGGGTAGGAATAGGTGGATTCACACCACACAAATAGACGACTGTTTGGCTAATTAATCTACCTTGGTTAGATACACGCATAAACAAGTCTGTGTGCACTTCTATCACTTCAGTTATGCACATCCTGCGAAGGGAAGATGGAGGAGAGTCTTTGTTCTCAGCTTTTAATGGAAACAAAGATGGTGAATGGCTTGTTTGACCAAGTCTTCCTCCACCATTCTTGATTTCGTTGATATTTACCGAGTAATTCCAATATGTCTTAAGGCGGTAAGTGCAAACTGGAAGAATGTCAGCAGTTCTGGACTGCAATGATGGTGAACGGACTAGTAAATGGATTTCTGTAACTTGCCAAAAGGGTGATGTGGAAAACGAGTTCCTTCGAAATTAATTTGAATGGTATTTAGCATCCTCATGAGGCTTCTCTAGGCAAAGTAAGGAGGTAGAGCCTACTAATTAGACAACAAATGTTGAATGCCTTTGAGAGATCAGCAGTTGGAGGCACTGCAACGAGTGCGTCGAACTTCAGTCGTCCACTAATAATGATGGCCTGGAACCCCTATCAAATCTACCTCGGCGGAACAGATGTGTGGCTCTGGGGAGAGTGGGTAGGTGGGTGATTCCAAGTTATCAAGATTGGTGGATGGGCAAGACCGGGACTGGTGTACTGGCAGACGGAGAAGTACTTCGCCGGGTAAAATTAGTAAATTGTGGATAAGGGCACCATCATGTAGTCGGACACCGAATTTCTATTTCGAAGGGTATCTTTTGTGGCCGCAGTGAGTACGGAGCCATTCGTGGTTTCATAAATAAGACCACCACGACAAATACTGGTACACTGAAGGTGCTACTTCAACTCATTTTCTTGTGAGTGGGTTCTGCGGTTAAGCAAGACCTCGGCTTGCTAAAGCGATACTTGCCTTCATGCGATGACCATGGGAGAGCGTATTTTTATTCGATGCGCAAAATATCACCGACATTTTGCAGAAGTTGTTCAAATCAAATGAAGAACGCCCAGAAGTATGAGGGTTGGAAAGGTGTCTGCTCTAATGCTCCTTTCTGGTCATGCGTTCGGGCGTAGAAGGGTGTAATTTGATATTGGTGATGGATGGAAGGGATGGTATTGGCAGTTGTGTTCGTATTTTATGGCAGAGAGAAAAATACAGCCTCGAGGAAAGTGCAATCTCACCCAAATCATTAAGCACACACTTGCAGTCCACTCTTCCTCCTCCTCCTCCTCCTCCTCCTCCTCCTCCTCCTCATTCTCCTCCTCCTCTGCACACTCAATGTGCTCTCATCCATCTATCCAGTCTCTATTCACTTGTTTATTTTCGATCCCTACCGTTGGAAGGAGATGGCGTGAGATGTCAGCATTCGTCAAATGCCTCTACTTTTTTAAAGCCGGTGCAAGCAGGTGATGTGAGGCGTCGAATCAACTAAGTGAGTTCCGAGCTGAGTGCGTTTCCGACCACATTCCTCTGATGCATCTAGTTTAGTTCATTCTTCAAAGATAACAACGACCTCATCGCTGCTTTCATAAGGAATCTGTGTAGACAATAATTGGCTGACTGATGGCACTAAAATGCATGGAGTAGGTTGAACTAGCACACCAGATTACGTAGATCATGATCGGTCAGATGGAATCAACTACCACTGCCATGAATGCTCGCAGACATCTCAGCCATTTCAGAACTCTGGTCCATTATAAGGGGGGAAATGGTGTGTCTGAAGCAAGGTGGAAATAATCTGCATTTCCACTTTCTCTAATTGCGACGTCAAATGTCACGGGAGAAGTTAAGCGTGTCTGTGGTCAATGTGACCAACCGCCACATTCCATCACATGCAGGTTGATTTGCATTGCAATGAAAACGCGTCCAAGAGTACAAGGTCATCTTTTCCACTTCGTAGATTGACTGGTTTGATAATCTGACCTCTCCAACTGTGTGATTGCCTTCCAATGTAGACAATAGAAAAAGGTGGTCTGGAAATTGATGACGTGTACTGTTTAAATGCATTTTTGAGGGTATTGAAGCAGGCAGTCAGATAGGTGAATGCTACCTCTCGTGAGGTGACAGGCAAGAACAATCAAACCCAGGTGGGTGATGTGTTGTGTGTCAGTAGGGACACGCAAATTTTCGTGATGCAGTGGAGCCCATTTTCCCTTCTAGGCACAATGCGCCTTCTACCAACAATGAAACCTTCACTCAAATTCACATTCGTCATTTCTACTTCCCCCTTTCCGTTCCATCTTGTGGCAGTCATTAAAACCATCGCATTCATCATCTTTACAAGCATTCGCGCCTACAGTATGGACTAAGACGTAGCATAAACCTCATTTCTGTCCTATTGCTGACGTCTTTCGCCTGTTACGCCAAAACCACCCATGTGCTTGGACGTGCGTATTCTGCATTGACTTGCACAGCCTTGTGGTGGCACTCATGAGGTGTGGGTGTTAACTCCACTGTGAGAGTGTGCTTTCAAAAGGCCTGTCTAGACCACTGCCTAACACATCACTCGGAGGCTTTGACAGCCACAGCCACACAGCCACACCCTACATGCACTTATACCGCAGTAGAAGAAGACTACACAGGTGGATTTCTCTCACGTTCTACAATTGGGTGACTCGCATTGACCTAAAAGCGTGCTGATTTGTCGTCTGATTTAAGCACAAATCTTACCACAGTATCAATTATACGCTGATTGCAGAATTCATCTATTCGTAAGCATCGAGTCCTCAGATGAGGGTGCAGCAATGCAGATTGGAGGGATGCTTAGATGGCCAGATGACTAAGTCTGTTTGGGGTAGGAATAGGTGGATTCACACCACACAAATAGACGACTGTTTGGCTAATTAATCTACCTTGGTTAGATACACGCATAAACAAGTCTGTGTGCACTTCTATCACTTCAGTTATGCACATCCTGCGAAGGGAAGATGGAGGAGAGTCTTTGTTCTCAGCTTTTAATGGAAACAAAGATGGTGAATGGCTTGTTTGACCAAGTCTTCCTCCACCATTCTTGATTTCGTTGATATTTACCGAGTAATTCCAATATGTCTTAAGGCGGTAAGTGCAAACTGGAAGAATGTCAGCAGTTCTGGACTGCAATGATGGTGAACGGACTAGTAAATGGATTTCTGTAACTTGCCAAAAGGGTGATGTGGAAAACGAGTTCCTTCGAAATTAATTTGAATGGTATTTAGCATCCTCATGAGGCTTCTCTAGGCAAAGTAAGGAGGTAGAGCCTACTAATTAGACAACAAATGTTGAATGCCTTTGAGAGATCAGCAGTTGGAGGCACTGCAACGAGTGCGTCGAACTTCAGTCGTCCACTAATAATGATGGCCTGGAACCCCTATCAAATCTACCTCGGCGGAACAGATGTGTGGCTCTGGGGAGAGTGGGTAGGTGGGTGATTCCAAGTTATCAAGATTGGTGGATGGGCAAGACCGGGACTGGTGTACTGGCAGACGGAGAAGTACTTCGCCGGGTAAAATTAGTAAATTGTGGATAAGGGCACCATCATGTAGTCGGACACCGAATTTCTATTTCGAAGGGTATCTTTTGTGGCCGCAGTGAGTACGGAGCCATTCGTGGTTTCATAAATAAGACCACCACGACAAATACTGGTACACTGAAGGTGCTACTTCAACTCATTTTCTTGTGAGTGGGTTCTGCGGTTAAGCAAGACCTCGGCTTGCTAAAGCGATACTTGCCTTCATGCGATGACCATGGGAGAGCGTATTTTTATTCGATGCGCAAAATATCACCGACATTTTGCAGAAGTTGTTCAAATCAAATGAAGAACGCCCAGAAGTATGAGGGTTGGAAAGGTGTCTGCTCTAATGCTCCTTTCTGGTCATGCGTTCGGGCGTAGAAGGGTGTAATTTGATATTGGTGATGGATGGAAGGGATGGTATTGGCAGTTGTGTTCGTATTTTATGGCAGAGAGAAAAATACAGCCTCGAGGAAAGTGCAATCTCACCCAAATCATTAAGCACACACTTGCAGTCCACTCTTCCTCCTCCTCCTCCTCCTCCTCCTCCTCCTCCTCCTCATTCTCCTCCTCCTCTGCACACTCAATGTGCTCTCATCCATCTATCCAGTCTCTATTCACTTGTTTATTTTCGATCCCTACCGTTGGAAGGAGATGGCGTGAGATGTCAGCATTCGTCAAATGCCTCTACTTTTTTAAAGCCGGTGCAAGCAGGTGATGTGAGGCGTCGAATCAACTAAGTGAGTTCCGAGCTGAGTGCGTTTCCGACCACATTCCTCTGATGCATCTAGTTTAGTTCATTCTTCAAAGATAACAACGACCTCATCGCTGCTTTCATAAGGAATCTGTGTAGACAATAATTGGCTGACTGATGGCACTAAAATGCATGGAGTAGGTTGAACTAGCACACCAGATTACGTAGATCATGATCGGTCAGATGGAATCAACTACCACTGCCATGAATGCTCGCAGACATCTCAGCCATTTCAGAACTCTGGTCCATTATAAGGGGGGAAATGGTGTGTCTGAAGCAAGGTGGAAATAATCTGCATTTCCACTTTCTCTAATTGCGACGTCAAATGTCACGGGAGAAGTTAAGCGTGTCTGTGGTCAATGTGACCAACCGCCACATTCCATCACATGCAGGTTGATTTGCATTGCAATGAAAACGCGTCCAAGAGTACAAGGTCATCTTTTCCACTTCGTAGATTGACTGGTTTGATAATCTGACCTCTCCAACTGTGTGATTGCCTTCCAATGTAGACAATAGAAAAAGGTGGTCTGGAAATTGATGACGTGTACTGTTTAAATGCATTTTTGAGGGTATTGAAGCAGGCAGTCAGATAGGTGAATGCTACCTCTCGTGAGGTGACAGGCAAGAACAATCAAAC